AAAAAAAAAAAAAAAAAAAAAAAAAAAAAAAAAAAAAAAGAAATAGATAAGCTGTGTGAACAGAGGGGCCAGGTCCCCTCTCCCGACGGCACCCTGTGCCTGACGCCAGGGGCACATGGCAGGCCTTGGGGAATCCTAGCTGCGACTAGTGAGAGGCCTCTTCCTGGGCCAAGGCGACCTGAATCCCATTGGTCAAGACGATCCCTGCAGCCCCCTGGACTACACGGCCGCTTGGCTTCATGGGCTGGCTCACAAGAGCTGGCGCTGCCCTTTCTCTGGGTCCGGCCCTGTTTTAAGTGCTTTATGATATCAACTTATTTACTCCTTACAGTGACCCTGTGGACAGGCTGTACTGTTTCTCCATTTTCCCCTGTGAGGGAGCCGAGGCTGATGGGTCAAGAGCATAACCTCAGGCCACACAGCCCAGGAGCGGGGACACTGCTCACAAGCCTGCACCACGCCACCCCTCTCTCTGATGGGCACTCACTTGTTCCCAGCTCTGCTCCTCTCAGTCCCAGTAAGTCTCTTGACTCTGCTAGCTTGTCGAGGCTCCCCAGGGGTGGCCTTAATGTGACTTTCAGATGCAGGCTGGCTGGAAGGTCCCTTGGCTTATTCAGAGGTCCTGCTCTCCAGGCACTCCCTGGGATCCAGACCTGGCCTGTTCCCTGTCTTCTGCCCTCTCCCACCCCCAACCCCTCACGCCCAGGAGTGGGTCGGATAGCAGTGCTCATCCCCATGCTGGGCAGTTCTTGGAGCACATGACCTGTGTTCACCAGGCCTCTTCTGTTTCAGAGCTCGGAGTTATAAATTCAAGCTTACACAGAACCAAATCTTCAGTAAAAAATGACATTTTTTATGTTTAATGGAGTTAAGTATATGAATAGTTAATATATATATATATTTTTTCCTTTTTGTCTTTTTTCATGACTGGTAACAGGATCACAACCCTCGGTGTCGCGCCCGCACCGCGCTCAACCAGTGAGCGGACCGGTCTCTATATGGGATCCGAACCCTTGGCGGGAGCGCCGCACTCCACCGAGTGCGCCACCAGGCCGGCCCGAATAGTTAATATTTTAGAGTGCTCAATTGCGTCTCATCCCTTTTCTATTTAGTTCTCACAACACTATGATTACATCACTGATGAAGTAACTTGGGCACAGAGTGGGCAGGTGATCTGCCAAAGTGGGCAGTAAAGCTCCGATATGAATGGAGAGGAATTTGACTGGATGGTCCACGCCCTTAACCACTAGGCAGGCTACTTCCCTAAAAATACCAAGAAAAAATTGGCCCATAACCCCACTTCCCAGTTACTTCATTAATTTAAAAAAATTGTGATATAGGGCTGGCCTGTGGCTCACTTGGGAGAGCGTGTTGCTAACAACACCAAGTCAAGGGTTAAGATCCCCTTACCGGTCATCTTAAAAAAAAAATTGTGAATTAAGCAGAAAAATGCATAAAACACACATGTACAGTGTAAGAAAAATTGTAAATCTGTACACCATCACTGAGGTCAAGTGAGGAAACATTAATCCTCTCCCCAGCTATCCCCACCCCCTGTGAGCCTCCCTGATGACAATCCTCTCCCTCCCATGCAGAGGTGTTGTCCTGACTTTTGTGATAATCATTTTGTTTTCTTTATAGCTTACCACCTACTTATGTTTCCATAACAGAATTTTAGATCATTGTACGCATGGCTGGATACCGTACGTATTCTTTTATATCTTCCTCCCTTTCCTCAATGTTCATTCTTCCCTGTGTGTGTAACTGAAGTTCATTGGTCATTATGACTATTTGGTGTTCCAGTGATAAGTATATTACTGTTTACTGATCCAGTCTACTGCTGATGGGCATTTGGGTTATCTTCAGCTTGAGGTTATTACAAACAGCGTTATGAATCCTCTTTAGCATATCTGGGTGCACTCGTGCTCAATATATAGGATATATACCTAGTAGTGGAATTGCTGATCAATTGGTATGGCTATTACCAACTTTAGTAATTTTCAATTGTTTTCCAAAGAGGTTATACCAACTTATATTCTCACCATCAGTGGGTAAGAGTTCCTGTTGCCTCATATCCTATACCCATACTGACATGAAAAAAATAATAAAGAGAGATAAGTGGTCAGATGGTAACAGTATAAAATTATATAAAATGAAAAGTCAAGACATTTTCCCCAAAGGTTGCTGTTACTGAGCCCAAGTCGCTGCCTGCTGCCAAACAGAGACAAATGACTTGAAAGTCAAATGTTGGCAGAAAGGGAAGGAGGCTTTATTCAGGATAACCAGCAACCTGAGAACATGGCAGGATAAAGCATCTCAAAGGCTCAGATTTACTGAGGGGCTTTTAAGGAGGATGTTGAGGGAGTGGAATGTGGAAAGATTCAGTAGGGAGTCAGCTTCTTTGCAAGGTCTATGTGCAGCTTTGCAGAGCTCTAGCTGGCTGTTACCTTGTGGCTGGTCATGTGATTCCTTGCTGGCACCCGCTGGTCAGCTTTCAGTCAGATCTCGGAATTCTGCAAGTCTCAAAGTAGAAATGTTAATTGCAAAGTACTGATTAATTTTCAATAGCTTTGCTTTCTGCTTAGCAAGTGGGGTTGGGGGGGTTGCAGTACAATTTTTCACAGGCCTCAAGGCCATTTTTTCTCCTGAAATCCAAAATGGCTAAACTCATGTTTACTAGTGCTCTAACACTGTCACTAGCAACAATTTCTTAACTATCCGTCCATAGAAATTAAAATAAATCATTCTCTCTCTATATATATGTCTATTTTTTTTGGTGGCTGGCTGGTATAGGGGATCTGAACCCTTGACCTCGGTGTTGTAACACCACGCTCTAATCAATGGAGATAATCAAGAAATATAAAGTTTTTTTAAAAAAATGACAGTTCGTGGAAATTTCTTAAGAAAGAGTGTAAATTAAATAAATTAAATATCTGCAGTTGTTAAATCAATTATCTCTATTGATCAAGTCACTCATAAAATACTTATTGGGCACCCATTGTGTGCTGGGCACTTTTCTAGGAGCTTGGAATACAGTAGTGAACAAAATAGTAAAAAATTCCTGCCGGTGTTGTCGCTCTCCCAAGTGAGCTAACTGGCCCAATCCCTACATAGGGATCTGAACCCATGGCCTTGGTGTTATCAGCACCACACTCTCCTGAGTGAGCCACGGGCCGGCCCAATTAAGGTTTTTTTTAAAAGATGACCAGTAAGGGGACCTTAACCGTTGGCTTGGTGTTGTCGCTCTCCCAAGTGAGCTAACTGGCCCAATCCCTACATAGGGATCTGAACCCATGGCCTTGGTGTTATCAGCACCACACTCTCCTGAGTGAGCCACGGGCCGGCCCAATTAAGGTTTTTTTTAAAAGATGACCAGTAAGGGGACCTTAACCGTTGGCTTGGTGTTGTCGCTCTCCCAAGTGAGCTAACTGGCCCAATCCCTACATAGGGATCTGAACCCATGGCCTTGGTGTTATCAGCACCACACTCTCCTGAGTGAGCCACGGGCCGGCCCAATTAAGGTTTTTTTTAAAAGATGACCAGTAAGGGGACCTTAACCGTTGGCTTGGTGTTGTCGCTCTCCCAAGTGAGCTAACTGGCCCAATCCCTACATAGGGATCTGAACCCGTGGCCTTGGTGTTATCAGCACCACACTCTCCTGAGTGAGCCACGGGCCGGCCCGAGTGAAATATATGTTAAGTGGTGTTAAGTGCTAAAGAGAAAAATAAACCAGGGAAGAGGATAAAGGAGTATCGGAGGAGGGGGATGAAATTGCAATTTTAGGTTGAATGGCCAGAGAAGGCCTTATTTAGAAGGTGATATTTGTCTGGATAAAGAGTGGTTTAGGGCTGGTCCAAAGGTAGTGAGTGATCTCAATTGACTGTACAGAGCCAGTTCCAAATCAGACTCCTTGTTCTAGTCTTTCCCCCATTCTCACTACTGCACTTCACTAGTCTTAAAAAAAAAAGAAAAACTGTTCCAGGCAGAGGAAGGGGCACGTATAAAGGCTCTGAGGCACGTCTGGCATATTCAAGGACTAAGGGGAGGTCACAGTGGCTGGAGCTAAGGAGCAAGCTCTGGGGGAATATAAGGACTAGGTGAGTGTGAGCAGCCTATTGCGTGCTGGAGTGATATCTGGTGTAGACAAGAGGATATATGAGTCTGGAATGTAGGGCAGAGGTCTGGGCTGGCCAGAGATAGGTGTTGCACAGATGGCAAATAAAGTCATGAGAAAGAATGAGACCTCAAGAGCCGCTGGGCACTTCTCCGACATTCTGGGAGGAAGATAGTGAGGCCGAATCAGCAAAGGAGGCTGAACAGAGTGGCCACAGAGGAGGAAGGAAAGCGAGTACGTGGGGTCCTGGAAGCAAGGGAGAGGCGCTTCCAGAAGGCAGGGCTCATGTCTGCTCAGTGCGGTGGAGAGGTCGAAGAAGATGACTTCTGACAAGGGATTACTGGATTTAGCAACTTGGAAAGAATTAGTGACCTTGATAAATTGAGTCGTAGAATCAAAAACTGAAAAGGAATGGGTTCAAAGGAGAATAGGAGGCAGGGAAGAGGAGGAAGGGTGTATGTATAAAAAGCTTTTGAGAAGTTTTGCTGGAAGCGAGGAATAGAAAAGTCCCAGAAGCTTGGGGGGGAAGTAGAAAATAACCTAAAATGGAAAGGTGAGAGACCGTGGAAGGTGAGAGATCTGTGTAAATCCACCAGCACTATGGCTAAAATAATTCACCGCGTTTCTGCGAAGAGATTGGGCCCTCCACTGCTATCCTTGAAAACAGGGCAACGTCACAAATAATCCTTAGGAGCACCATTTTCTCACCTGATTGGGCTGCCCCCGCAGTCTCGTAATGCAGTGACCAGGATGACACCCAGTTCTTTCCGAGCTACCTAGCTTAGTTTAAATGGGTTGTCCAAAAAACACCGGACGGTTTGGGTTCTGTGGGTTTTGTTGTTGTTTTTAATCAGAGTACACATCTACGTTCATTATAAAAAATGTGGAAAAAATCAAACTGCATAGGAAGGAACAAGCTCTCTCTAGTTCCAGCACGTGGGGGTGACCGCCCTTCCCCTGTCTGGTATCTTCGGGGGACGTGGCCGGGCTCCACTCCAGGGTCCCCGTGTGCAGCAGGGCGGAGCGGCATCCTCGGGGCTGCTCACTGCAGTCGCTCGGCGCCCCGAGCAGGTCTTCTCGGAGCGGGGCTGGGCGGTGGGCCGCGGACGGTGCAGGCCTCCGTCCTCCCGGCCGCGCCTGGCGCGCCCACGTGCTTCCAGCAGCAGCCGTTAAGTCCTGAGGGACGGGGACGACT